GAAGAGTTTAAAGAAACATACAACGCGCTTCTATCGAGTGCCGAAGGAGATCAATCTAATACAGCCGAAGCTGGACCATCCTAGCAAAAAACCTCATGTTTCGATATTACATAAAAGGAAACAACCAATATCGACGCAGCTTTGTGGCCTAGGTGGCCTTGCGTCTTTGCGGCTACCTGGACGATGCCTTTCCAACGATCGGGAAGAGCTCGTCCAGCGCCTCGGCTTCGGACACAGTCAGGTTGCCGTCGAAGAGCCTATCAAAGGCCTCCAACTCCAAAGCGGATGGCGTAGATGGATCCCTGGTATAGCCTATACGCTACATGATCAGCACCTCACCTCGCTTGGAAGCTGGCACTCGGGAGAGGCTCTGAGCCACCAACCGCCTGCTCCGCCACGGCAGTATCGGCTTAGCAGGAGGCTGTTTGGGAGGCTCACGAATCAGCGGAGAGTCCCTCTTACGCGTGACATAGTTGATGAAGCTGTCGAGGCGTCGTTTGACGGAGTCGTTGTTGTCCACAGCCTGGTGGGTAACCCCTGGTGGTGAACTGGAAGGGCCATCCACCGTGAGGTCAACCGCGTGTGTCTTCGGCGAGTCCACTGCCCACTGAATGGGACGTGGGGGTGGTGTTAGCAGCACACAGGAGGCTACCGCATCCTCTAGCTGGGGGCCCGCCACCGCTGGTGCCTCATCCAGAAGCTGGGGGGTCACCGAAGTTGACGGGAGGTGCTCTAGGGAAGACCACGTGACAATCTGAGTGCCGGCGAGCGAGGCTACGAACTCCTCAACCATCGGGTCATCTGAGATGTCGCGATCCTACGTGGCGCCCGGACACAACGTGAGCGTCAAGGGGTCGGGTTCAACCATGCCCGTCGCGTTGGTCAGACCACCGTGCCTTGCCTCAGTTCTAGCAGCGACCGAGATGAAGTCCGCTGCCGTTTGGGCGGCCCCTATCGACCGCACCGTGACTATCGGTGGCGACACTCGTTGCCGCAGCGGTGTCGTCCCCCTTCAGTTGGCGCCGACATCTCCAACGCCTCCACCTTCTGCGCCCACCGCTGCCGCGCGTGGTCGCATCTGGCACAACAGCTGCTGCACCCGGCACAGCCCCAGCCGCGCTCAACGTGTCGCCCTGAGTACGCGGCTGGTTGCCCAAGATACGCTCCCAGACTGGGCGTCGTTGCCAGCCTTCTAGGGCACCAACTGTGCCAGAGCCGGAAGGAGGCACCTTCCGCCGCTGCTTATAGTCCCGCGTGAGGTGTCGGAACCCCTTGCATCAGAGGCAACGTGGAGGCAGCTTGCTGAAAGGTCATTGTGTGATTTTGGTAATTGAGTGACAACCTAGGTGGACTAATTGTGTTTATGTGAGATACATAGGTGATTAGTCCGCAGGTACATGTGTGTGAGCAACATATGCCATGAAAGTGAAAATGGCTTGGAGATGTTGCAAAGCTCATAAATGTGATGATGAAGGAGATCATTGCACATGAGACATGACATTGAGTCATGTGATTAAGGTGAAGAAGATCAAGATAAGACTTGGTTTGATGGACCGGTTGCAAGAGTGAAGGGCAAGTCGGAGGCTTTGGAGCGATGGATCGCGTGACGGTGAAGCTTGAGCAAGACTTGGCGCTGATGGACGAAGGCAACGGTGAAAAGCAAGTGAAGTCAAGATCGATGAGCCAATATGATCATGTGATGATATGAAGTGGATCATATCATTGTTGATCGTGTTGATGCATGTGTTGTATCGACATTGGAGAAGATTGAATGGAATATGCAAGGCAAAGGTATAATCTAGGGTATTTTATTTCACCAGTCATAGGTGTGTAGAGAAGTTTATGACCGGATTTAGGATAGATGGTCATACTATCAAGAGGAGCAAACTTGTTTGCATATCGGTCATCTAGTGCCACTCGAGTGATCTAACTTTACATCGTCGCTAGGATCGAGTGGTGTGGCGAGTGGCTAATCCTTTAGAAAATGATTATGAAAATGCTAACACACATATACATGGTGGTGTACACTTAGTAGTGTTAGCACATTTACAAAGGAGATGAAGTTGGAGTTGATGTAGATCAACTCGGTGATGAAACAGAGGCGAGAAGGGTTTGAAACTTCACCGATGAAGTGTCACCGTGTATAGAAAAGACATGGTTTCATAGTGTGCACCGGGCACTGGTCACGCAGTGACCGGACGCTGGGGTCCTGCGTCCGGTCAGTGGCAGCAGTGAAGGCGCAGGCGTCGGTCTTCGACCGGACACTGGGTCACTTCATGACCGGACGCTGGGTGGCTGCGTCCGTTCCCGCTGACGTGGCAGCACAAAGAAGAGGAGAAATGACCGAACGCTGATGTTGTCCGGTCATGAATTTTCACCTCTGGAAGCTTAATGGAAGTGACCGGACGCTGGGATCTTACGTCCGATCACTTTGAGCAGCTGCGTCTGGTCATCACTTGACTGTTGAGATCAAGCGACTGAGGTTGAACGGAGGCGACACGTGGTGAGAATCAGTTGACCGGACGCTGAGGTCCTGCGTCCTGTCGATATGACCGGCGCATCCGGTCAACCCGAAAAACTCACAGTGAAGGGGTAACGACTATTTTAGCCTGTGGGGCTATAAATAGAAGGGGGTCTCAGCCATGGCTTCAGCTGAGCACCTTGGGGGACTTTATGTCCATGCTTGAAAGTGCTTGGAAGCCCTCTATCTCACATATGCTTGATAGTGATCATCCAATTGTGTGAGAGAGTGATTCTAGTGTGATTGCATCATTAGGTTGCATCGAGTGGCACTAGGTGATTGAGTTGCAAGCTGGTGATGCTTGTTACTCTTGGAGGTTGCCACCTCCTAGACGGCTTGGTGGTGGTCTCCATTGAAGCCCGCAAGAAGCTTGTGCGGTGCTCCGAAAAAGAGTTTTGTGAGGAGCATTGTGCTCGCCCCGCGGGAGCCACGAAGAGCAACTCTATTAAAGCGTGTCATTGAGTTACCCTCACTTTCGGGGAAGGTTCTTATGGTGCCCAACGTGCGGACTTGTTGGGTGATGCCAATTAGTCACCGAACCACCAAGTGAGCGGTCGACACAACGGGGACTAGCGTGTTGGTAAGCACGTGAACCTCGGGAGAAAAATCATCGTATCAACTTTATTCTTCCCGTTGGTTTACATCCTCGTTACACAAGCTTGTAATTACTTTTATATACATTGTGCTTGTGCAGTTACTCTTGTAATTAGTTTGTTTGTATAGCTCACTAGTTACCTTCTTGCTTGTGTAGCATAGAAATAGCTCCCTTACGTGACTAATTTGGTTTGTGTAATCTTGTTAGTCACTTTGCTTAGTTTGTGTAGCTAAGTATTTGCGCTCTCTAATTTGGCATTGGTTGCCTTGTTATTGAGCATTGCTAGTGAGCTTAGTTGATTTTGTGCTTTTGCTTACTAGTATGTATAGGAGCTCCATCATTACTTGAAATACTAGTGATATAGGTTTGTGTAACCTTGCTCCTATAATTGGTTAGGTGAACTCTACCTATCTTAACACTTTTGTTGTTTAATTAGGATCTTTGCAAGGTGCTAGAGAGCATAGGTAGAGGGTATAGTCTTGGTTAGACTGATAGTTTTAATTCCGCACTTGTTTCATTACTAAAGTTTATATGCATCACGTGATTGCAGTTTGCTATCATTGCTATTTTACCTCAAGAATAATAGCAAACTTTTAAGCTTCATACCCTTTTAGATTCAAATAACTGGTACGCCTCGGATGGATGTTTTGTGTATAGCATTCGTTGATGAGCATGAGCTGCATCACATGTCTTCTCTATGATTTCCATCAGTGAGTTTTGACGATGCTACCTCCTCTCCTAAGATGATCTGCAAACATCAACTGATCAAAAGGACAATGCCGCTCTTTCTTCACCTTATATAGTTGATAAAATCATACCATGTTTGAGAGTGACTTTAGTAAACGGTAGCTTCATTGTTAGTTTTTGCAAGGCAAATTTACTGGCCACATTTTATTGATCAAAACATGAACATTTACTGACCATATAATATTGATTTTAACAGATAAATGTGCGTTAGCTTCATTGATAGTTTGTGCAAATAGAAGCAAGGCATACAGTAAGCTCTAAAATCTTCTGAAATTGCGCAAGGTCGACAAACTTCAGTTTGCATTACGGAAATATGTTTATCCTATATGCTCATTTACTGACCATGCACTGCCCTTTTCAGGGATTCATGTTTGACAGGATTTTGCTTATAGTTTTTCATAGACACGTACATATTTGCTAGTAAATAAAAACGTCAAAAGAAAAGTGTGGCTTGGGCTTGTCTAGGGCGCTTGTAGTAATTAACCCAAACCAAGTGTAGTTCTAATGGGCCAAGTTCCAACGGCCACAAGCCCGTCAGCAAAGGTCAACCAGAGCCAGCCCGTCATCATCGCCTACGCCTCGTCATCGAGTAGCAACCTCGTCGCGCCGCCGGACGCTACCGCCAGTTGCTGGAGGTCGTTTGTTCTAGAGCGCTGGCCATCGTCTTCCTCGTCTTGCTCGCCGGCTTGAGTGAGTATTCCTTTGCTTCCCCGCCTTGCATCCCGTATCTCGGAGATTCTATTTTCTCCGAAGCATAAACCGCAAAGAACAAGCCCAAGATTAATAAATAAATAGTACACCTTGTTCTTTATTGGTCTGTGCTGCACTGTCGCCGCTCCAAAGAATCCGACTCACAGATTGGCATAATACTGAATTAAAGCCTGTAGAGTAGCTTTATATGGAATATGCTCCCAGATTTGACAATTATTAAGCTGTCCGCCTCTATAGAAATTATTAATGAGCAAAGCTGCTGATGCAGGAACGAGGTTCTTATGGTCTTGGGAATGAATATGCTTTCATCAACCTAGGCTTCGTCCATTGGATTTAGCTACCAGGGCCTTATAAAACCATGACTCGAGTCGCAATGTGCATTCAAAGCCTTACAGGCTTGCAGTTGCAGCTCGGGAGACAGTGGCCATGGCTGAGGGCGTTGTGGGCTGGTTAATCCCCAAGCTCGGAGATGCCCTCGCAAACGAGGCTGTTGAGGTTGCATATTCATTCTTTGGGGTGGAGGGTTATGCCCTAAAAGGCCTATTTCGTGAGATACGCGATGTGAAGGGGGAGCTGGAGAGTGTTCAAGCTTTCTTGTGTGCCGCCGAGAGATTCAGGGACACTGATGAGACCACAGTTGCATTTGTGAAGCAGATCAGGAGTCTTGCTTATGAGATCGAAGATGTCATTGCAAAGTGCACTTACCATCTGGGGGAAGATGCTGATTGTATGTTTCTTTTCAAGCCAGTAAGGAGGATCAGACAGATCAAGGTATGGTACCGCTTGGCAAAAAGGCTCCAAGACACCAAACTAGGTCTTAAGAATGCTGCAGAGAGGAGGGGCAGATATGAGCTGAAGGGAATTGAGAGAGGCACACGGTTATCAGGCAGCAGCAGCTCAAATTGGAAGTGTTCAGGATACATGCAGTTCAAAAGGGAGGAGGATCTTGTGGGGGTTAAGAAGGAGAGAGACTTCTTGCTGGAATGGGTGAAAGATAATGACCAGCGAAATATGATAGCATCAGTGCTCGGGATGGGTGGCATTGGCAAGACAACACTTGTTGCTCACATTTACAGTGCTGTCAAGGAGGATTTTGATACTTGTGCTTGGATCACAGTGTCCCAGAGATATGAAGTTGATGACTTGTTACGACAAATTGTTCGGGAGTTCCGCAAGAATGACCGAAGAAAAGACTTTCCAGAGGATGTTGATGTGACTGATTATAGAAGCCTACCAGACATAATTTGCAGTTACCTCAAAAATAAAAGGTACATTCTTGTTCTTGATGATGTGTGGAATGTGAATGTTTTGTTTGATAGTAAGGAAACATTTCTTGGTGGAAATGGTCGGATAATTCTTACATCAAGGATTTATGAGGTGGCGAGATTGGCGCATGAATCAAATATTGTTCATTTGCAGCCCCTGCAAGAGCGTGATGCACAGTATCTATTTTACAAAGAGGCCTTTTGGAAGAACAAAGACATGGCTTGCCCGCTTGAGGTGGAACACTGGGCTAAAATGTTTGTAGAGAAGTGCAATGGCTTACCAATTGCTATTGTATGCATTGGGCGATTCTTATCATTCCGAAGAACAAGCTATTTGGAGTGGGAAAAGGTGTACAAAGGTATTGAGACGCGTCTCAGCAACAATCCTATCATGGATATGAACATAATCCTGCAGGTTAGTTTGGAGGACCTACCACATAATATAAGAAATTGCTTCTTGTATTGTTGTCTGTACCCAGAGAATTATGTGATGCAAAGGAAGTCGCTAGTGCGACTTTGGGTTGCAGAAGGGTTTGTCGAGAAAATTGGCCAAAAGACATTGGAGGAGATAGCTGAGGATTATCTGACTGAACTTATCCATCGGTGTCTGTTGGTGGTGGTGAAGAGGAGTGACTCTGGATGTGTCTGTGAAGTTCAAATGCATGATATCCTTCGTGTTTTAGCTCTTTCCAAGTCACATGAAGAAAATTTTGGCAGTGTCTATAATCCCTTGAAAACTGATCTCATCAGAGAAGCACGGCGTGTATCAACTGAAAGTGGGGATATTGCGCGGGTCGCAGAAAATGCTCCACATCTCCGTTCCTTGCTTGTTTTCCAGAATTCCTTCACCCCTGTTTCACTTCGTTCACTGTCAAGCGTCAACAAGCTGTTATCTGTCCTGAACCTACAAGATAGCTCAATTGAGCGGCTTCCAAAAGAGGTGTTTGACTTGTATAATTTGCGCTTCCTTGGTCTGAGGAGAACTAATATTGCAAGTCTTCCACGATTAATCGGGAGACTGAAGAATTTGCTTGTCTTGGATGCCTGGAAGTGTAAAATCACGGAGCTACCATCAGAAGTTACAAAGCTTCATAAGTTGACGCATCTTATCATTACTTCCAAACCAGTTCGATCATCTTTGCAGTTTGTACCTTCTGTTGGTGTACATGCTCCAGCAAATATATGTTCCTTAACGAGGTTGCAGACACTACTACTGATGGAAGCTAGTGCTGAAGTGGTCTGTAGCATAGGCACTCTTGTGGAGTTAAGAACATTTCGTATCAGCAAAGTGCAAGGTAGCCATTGTGAAAATCTGTTCAAGGCTATTAGTAATATGACTCATATTACTCGTCTCGGGATCCAAGCAGCTGATAATGAGGAAATGGTGGATCTCAAAGCACTTCAGCCACCTCCATTGCTTCAGAAGCTTTTCTTGCTAGGGGCACTATCTAAGGAAACACTACCTGGTTTCTTCTCATCGCTTGGTAATCTAAAGAACATCACATTTCTAAGGCTTGTTGGTTCAAGACTTGATGAAAACACATTTTCTTGTCTGAAGGGGTTACAATGGTTAGTTAAGCTTCAGCTTTATGATGCATACAGTGGCGGTAAGATGCTGTTCTCCACAGAATCATTTCCAAACCTAAAGGTGCTGAAAATAAGGGGCGGTCCACATCTGACTGAAATTAAGATAGAAAGAGGGGCCATGACGAGCCTAGTTGATCTCAAGCTTCTACTCTGTCCACAGTTGAAGATGTTACCTGATGGTATTGAACATTTAAGCACTCTTGAAGAACTGACTTTGGATCATACTGCAGAAGAACTCGTCGACAGGGTTCGGCAGAGGAAAGAGATGACGATTTCTCATGTCCAGCGAGTTTATATTGGGTTCGTCAGAAATGGTGAGCTCGCTTTTGAGAGAATAACATGATGCTCTATGCCAGAATAATAGTCATTTGTCTTTCAGTTATGGTTGTAAAAAAGCCATTTGATGGCCATGTGATGAAGAAATGAAATTCCAATTTCGTGTAACATCCTCATTTTTGCATTTCTGAGAAAAAAATTGTGAAAAGCTTTTAACCAGAATGCTGTGCCTGTTCACACTTTCTTCTGAATTCGTTAGCACGTCTTACATCTCTCTCTGCAGACTTATTTATTTATTTTGTCTTGGATTGAGAATTGCTTTCTTTCTCAAGGATAAATGAAATCCTATGGCATTTGCATTTTTTAAATGCTCTACAGGCACCTAAATGAATTGCATCTATTTTTTTTAAAAAAATTGCATCTATGTATAAAATATAATAGTTGCAACACAGCTGCCTTGGGATCACACACGAGCAGCACAGGTGATATTCTTGGAGGGCCACAGTACATAGCAACACAGGTCCTGCCTTGAAGCATCCATGTGCAGGACAACCGTCTTTCTTCTTCCATCTCACATCCAGCAACTTATATTCCTACTCTTTATCTGTTCTCACTAGCACACGCAAGTTTTCACTATATACCATGACTTCGTGAGCAGAAGCAATCTTCATGCAGCTCCTTGATTCTTGCTGCTACAATCTCACCAAGCAGAGAGGTAAAAACAGCACATTCTTGCTCTCCTCTCTTTTGATGCATCATATCCAGTAGTATTTGCTATTTGGGCAGGGGGGCAGTAGCTTACAGTTTGCCGAGTAGTCACTGGCAGCAGAAGCGGTTCTCATGTTGTTCGGTATTTTGGTTTCAGCATATCCTATCCTACAATGTTGCAAGAAGTAGGGACCAAACGGCTAGTAACTCGGCAAGGGTGCTACAGCCAGTGTCTTGCTGCCACCCGAAAAGCCTATGGACACAGATCAAGTTTTTGTGCTGCCTGAGTGCAGCTTAATCTTTTGAATATAAACGAATGTTCGTGCTATATTATGTGTCTTAGTGAGGAATGGCAGAGCATAGATGCAGTTTGGCCATTAGTAAAACTAGCAAATATGTCGGTGCGTTGCAACGGGATAAAAAAAATTACTAACACAGTCAAGTCCAATAAACAATTAAATATTTTTGGCAAGAAATAAGCAATTATCAAGAAATAAGCAATTATACATAGCTTAGACTAATTATATGACTGGGCATTTGGTGTACTTCCGTCTGGCTTTTGGTTTTTAGAAACTTCGGTTTCCAACAATCAGTAACCGATCGGCCACAAAACAAAAAAGTTGAACAGTTTACCTTATACAGACGGCTTCATTATTTGGAGAAAATTGTAACGTGCACCAATTGTTTCATCATTGAGTTTTCTAAGCAATGGAGATCAATAATAGTTGATGTATTTTTCATCTGCAGGTTCAACAAGTTAGGTCAGTAGTGGTGGAGGGCCTCTCCTTACCGCCTCTTTCTGTTCTGTTATCGTTTTGGTTTCTAACCATTTCCTGGTTTTGGAACCTGCACTACGGGTTCTCCCGTAGTTGCGTTGTGCAAGCCGTTCTTCGGTATTTTTTCTTCTTAATGAAATACAAGTGAAGTCGTGTTCTTGAAAAAAAATAATAATAGCAGATCATCTTAAAAAATGTAAGCCTGGTGACAGGCCGGGTGGTAATGGTTTTCTTCTGCACATGCACAAGCAACAAACATGCTCTCAAATCTAGACTACTAACTACACGTCAGTAAAGAAAAGGGCATGAAGTGCAAGAAAACGAAAGGCTGGCAGCCTAGCACACACACGAGACGATGATTGATTAATAAAAAGAAAAAGAAGCGGACTTTTGGATGGGCCAATAAGTCTAACGATTCGTCCATCTCTCCCAAGAGGCGCCGCCACTCTTTTCTTTTCTTTCTCCTTTCATGCTCCATGCATCTTCTTCAACTGAGTAAGGCAACAGAAAGGAGTAATAGAGGACATCTTGGAACAAATTAACCTAGGAGCAACAAACTGTCCTCGCTGCTCCCTCCTTCCTCGAATGAATCCAACACACACCAACACCAGCCTCAGCCTGAACCCAATCTGAGCAGTCCCAGCTCCAATTTTCCCACACGCAAAATCCCAATCTAAGCAACCAAAGCTACAATCTCCTCCGTCAGCTTCTCTGTCCCATTCACCGAGCAATCGGTGTCTTGGCCATCCTCTCTCACGCCCCCAGAAGCAAACAAACATCCTTCCTCTTGCTTACGCTAAGCACCAGAACATCCCATCCATACAATCCAGCTTATCTTTCTCTATTGATTCGGTCAGATTGAAGCATCAAGCCAACTCCTTTTCTCTTGGCACCTCCTTCTAGCAAATCAACAAACATGATCTGTAGCACTAATCCACGCTAAAAGCATCAAGATGTCCAAGAGGAAGGGTGAATTGGACTAATTCTAAATTTTCTTGCAATAACTAAGTCCTACGGTTGGCGCAATTAACTCCTTGTGTCTAGAAAGTGTTTCTATTGAACTAACGCACAAAAGAACTGCAACCTAAGTTCCAATCCTACTCTAGCATAGCAATTCTATGAATGTAAGAGCAAAAATTGAATTACTCAAAGTAAATGCTCAAAGTAAATAGAGAGGAGAGGAAACGCGGCTATGTTTTGCCGAGGTATCGGAGAGTCGCCACTCCCCACTAGTCCTCGTTGGAGCACCCGCGCAAGAGTGTAGCTCCCTCTTGATCCGTGCAAGGATCAAGTGCTCTCTACGAGTTGATTCTTCGACACTCCGTCGGGGTGAATCACCCACAACCGCTCACAACTTGAGTTGGGTCATCCACAAGCTCTCCGGATGATCACCAAGCTCCCAATCACCACCAAGCCGTCTAGGTGATGGCGATCACCAAGAGTAACAAGCACGAACTCTCACTTGACCACAACAAGCCTAATGAGAAGGGTAAATGCACACTTTGCTACTCTTGATCTCACTAATAAGGGCTCTCTTTGGGATTCTCAAATCTCAACTATCTCACTAGGACCTTACTCTTCTTGACACTATCTAGGGTGTTTCTCAGCTGTTGGAATGAGCAAAAGTATCCCCACACACGAGTGGAGGGAGTATTTATAACACCGGCTGAAAAACGAACCGTTATGTGCCTCTACGGGGTGACCGGACGCTCCGGTCATGTTGACCAAACGCTCCGGTCAAGTTGACCAAACGCTCCAGTCAGTTCACCCCGAACTCCAGTGTTTAAAGTGTGACCGGACGCTGGCCAGCGTCCAGCCAGCACTGACCGGACACGTCTGGTCGTGATTTTCCCTCTTTGGAACCTTACCGGAGTCGACCGGACGCTGGCCCTCAGCGTCCGGTCACTTCACCTCTCAGCGTTCGGTTGCACCAGACGAAATCACCTTGGTCAAATGAACTGACCGGACTCTGCGCCAGCGTCCGGTCAGTATTTGACCCTCCATTCACTCCAACTCTCGATCATACGTGAATGAAGTTTGCTCCATTGGATCTAAGGGCTATTTTGGAGCTGCCTAGTGCTAAATTTAGCAAGTGTGCACCACACCTAACTCACTAGACTCACCTAGGTCAAGCTACCCGTCCATAAGCCCCTTAATAGTACGGCCAAAGGAAAAAACAAAGTCCTAAACTACTCTAAGTGTCTCTTCAACTCTAATCGACACTTAGAACTAGTCCATCCTTAACCTTGTCGTCCATCCTTTGAAAACCAAAACGATTTCTATCGTAGGGGCATGACCACCATGATTGCCCAATCGATCTCCATTACCATGACCTAACTTAATTGCCTCTGCAAAACACACGTTAGTCATAGTAATCACGTATTGTTATTAATCACCGAAACCCAACTAGGGGCCTGGATGCTTTCAGTGTCCATACGTTGCAACGGAATCGAATTCGTATAAGAACCAATCAACGCTACACACGTGTGTTCTATCTTGTATTAGCGCAGGTCATGAGTACGGGTCATATACAATCTTGCATCACCATGGACTTATACAAAGGCGACCCCCTCTCCCCGATGATGTTTATTTTGGTAATCGATGTGTTGAATTCACTGATTAATTACACCACCAGAGAGCAGTTGCTACAACCATTAGCCATCCAAGAGATGAAGCACCGTGTATATCTTTCTATGCACTGTGCTATTTTTTAGACCGTCTTTAGTTGATATCAAACCGTCAAGTCGCTCCTGGATTTGTTTGGTCATGCCTCGGGTCTTAGAACTAATCTGGCTAAAAGCTCAGCCACTCTTATTCATTATTTTGAGGATGATCTGCAGTGCACCTCGGTGATCCTTTCCTGTGCGGTTAAGGAATTCCCTTGCAGCTATCTCGGTCTCCCGCTCACTATAAAAAAAGCCCACTAATTTTTTGCTGCTGCCTTTGGTGGATAAAATTAGAGACCATCTTCCAGGTTGAAAGGCTTCTATGATGAATAGAGCTAGGCGCTTGGTAATGGTTCAAGTGATGATGACAGGTACTCTCATTTACCACATGATTTCTCTTGACCTTCATAAATGGGTGATTAAAGCTATTGACAAGAGACGACGTGGTTTTCTCTAGGAAGGCAGGAACAGGCTAATGGAGGTAATTGTTTGGTCTCTTGGGCAAAAGTCCAGCTACCACTACAGTATGGTGGTCTGGGAATTTTCAACCTTGAGACTCTTGGTTGGGCTCTAAGAATCAGATGGCTATGGGCTCAAAAGACTGACTCTTCTAGACCTTAGGCTGGTCTTCCAATCCAGGTTCCACAAAATGCTCATTTGGTTGGGAATGGTGAATCAACTCATTTCTGGACTAGTCAATGGTTAAATGGGAAGACCATCCCTGAATTGGCCCCCAATTTGTGCAAAGCTATCCCAAAAAGGTCGGTAAAATGCAGGACTGTAGCTCAACCGTTAACCAATCATCGTTGGGTGGCCGATATCAAAGTGGCTTTAACAGTACAAGTTCTGGTTGAATACTTATCAATATGGGAGCAAGTGGATGGTGTTGTGCTGCAACAAGATATACAAGATCACCA